TCTTTAACCGAAGCAACTGCTAAAGTGTGTTTTTTTATACAAAATTTACATACTGCACGCTTGTTAGAACTTTTTTTGAGGGTTTTATTAGTATAAAGAATTCACAAAAATTATGCGGGATTTTGCCTATACTGCAACTTTCGGTAATACAAAAAAAAAAGATTTTGTGTATAATAAAGTTTAAATTTTATTTATGTATTGTAAGCAACGAATAAAAAAAAAATTTTTTTTTATGCAAAGATGATCAAGTATTACAATTTTTAATTGGTTCGCGTAAATGACTACAAATGACTTCAAATGACACAACTATCTAAAAGGAGTCATTTAGTCATTTGTCATTGTGAAATGACCTATTTTAAATGACCCAAATGACCGGGTCATTTGGAGGTCATTTGAAGGTCATTTCAAAATAGCCAAATGACCTGGTCATTTGCCATCACTGACACTAGCTGGTATAAGAATGTTAAAAAACTCGAAGATATTGTTAATCGTAATTAGTGAAAATGATTTATTTGTCAAGATAATAGAATTTCCCTTCTTGAAGTATGGTAAGATTAAAAACTGGAAATCGTTATTCCTAAAAGGATACAAAAATTAAGGAGTTTGTTTGTCTAATATCCAAAAGTTTTGATATGCAGACCAAGTCTGATAAAATATTAACTCCGTCTGAATTCTGGATTGGCATATCAAATTAACTGGTTTACCAAGTATTTTGACAGATAAGATTCATTTTAATTAATATAAAAAATATAAGAAAGAAACTGGACATGAGCTATGCCAATTATCAGAAGCTGTGATAAATATGTTAGCTAAACTGATTTCAGGCCTATCACTTTCGAAGCCAAACCTGATCCAGAATTAATAATCAAATCCATCTTAGAACATTTCACATACCTAAAATTTTGAAATAGTTTTAGAGGAATTGATAATTATAATTTTGTATCACCTCAACTGTGGAGCTCATCATGTCCTATTTGTGATGGAAAACATGGGAATTATGGATTACATGGCGAATGGTATAGAAATGGAATGGAATGGAATATTGTCTTACTTGCTTCACTTCAAGCAATAAATTCAAATTCGCAATTATAGCATAGAAGCATTTTGTGTATTTTTGCACTTGTATTTATTTTTTTATCACTCGCATGCATTAATAAAGTACCGTGAAGATTCTTCACACTTATCACCTGATATTGTAAAAACTATGAAATTCCGATACTGTGACATTCTTAAAGTTTAGCATTTTTTTATATGAAGTATTATAAGGCTCAATTTCTTTTCCACCAATTCTACTGCGTTCTTGTGATAGTGTCATCCATCAGAAAAATAGTGCACATCAGTCTTTTTGCTTGAAAGTTCCAGCGTATACCTTGATATAAGTCAAGATGTTAGCTGTTCATGATTTTCACGGATTAACTTGTTGATAGGTAGTATCTATTATGAATTTAAGAAGACGAGTTAATCTGATTTTCATGATGCAGTCATATTAACATTCCAAAATCAATTCTGCAAATTATATAAAAAGGTGAGTCCTTAGTTAATAAGCCCTTTTACCCGCCTTGTACAAGTAAAATAAAAATCAATCAAACCTACCATTATTTGCATCATTGATATCTATAATCTCGTGTAATCTGCAAATTAATAATAAAGTATGCTGGTTTGATTTTTACGTCATTACAATGCTAATCATTTTTTAGGATTTATAAATGCTTAAGGATATATTACCATTCTTGATCCTTTCTGACAGTATGTATGTGTCTTATCTGTCTTGTCGGCGCAGTGAATACTAGAGGAAAAAAAATCACATGACTGTAATTTATTGGGATGACGCAGTATCCAGATTCTTGGCGCGCAGTATTATTAGCATCATAGCTATGAATCTGAAATTATTAATAAAGTTTGCTCATATTGGGCTTGAGATTTTTAACTAAATACACATGTATATGGGTGTTGTGGATGTTGTAAAATATGCATCGGAAAAATAAAAATGTACGTAAATATACAGCTTAGTAAGAGATCAAATTAAATTTCTTTATTATTAAGCAATAAAGCAATAAACGTTAATTAAGCAGTTTGTACAAAATTTAAGTAGTCTACATATTTGTTGATGGTGTTATTTGTCATTGTTATTTTCATCTACATGCGTTTTCTTCACTAAATTGAATAGGTTACAACATTATTGGAATACAATAGATTATTTTTATATAATAGTAACTTATTCTTCAGTTGTAATAGCTAGTTACATCACATTCAGATTAAATCTATATTTGTTTCATGGATGCGTAGATTTGGAGAAAACAGAGGAACACAAGCACGAAAATAAAAATATCATAGCTCCAATCCTGTAATTGACATAATTTTAGATTAATCAAAAAACAAAATTATTCACATGGGAAAATGTGACTCACTTGAGCATCAGAAAATTTTTGTTCTAAAGTGTCATGTTTTTTCTTCAGGAAGGCCCATTTTTCATTGGCGAGATTCAATAATTAAGGATCAGAAACTTTTTTCTCTAAAGTGTCGTGTTTTTTCTTCAGGAAAGCCCATTTGTCATTTAAGAGATCTAGTTTATCCGCAAATATTTTATGCATTACACCTATGTTTGCGAACTCTGAATTCATTCTTTCAGTTAGCATTTCATTCATCATTATTATTTCCTAAAAAATCAATATGTTCAGTTATTATATGAAACAGGTAGCATCATTTAAGGTTATTATACATACGTTTCTTATCTGGATAAGGTAATTTATCGTAACTATAGCGCTAATAAGGGCTACAATAAATTTAATAGTATTAACAACACTGGAAGTGCACTCTAAAGATAAATAAGTTTGTTAACATGTTAACTAGCGAAGAAATGATGCAATAACACTTTCTTACCATAAGATTTTTTTGCGAATCTCTGCATTTCTGCTTGCTGTTGTAGATTATTGCGTGTTTGGTTATATCTGTCCTCCTGCATTCCTGCCTGCTGTTGTAGATTATCGCGCATTTGGTTATCTTCTTGTTTGAACATTTAAATATCTTTTTGACTCTCAATCAATTGATAGAGATTCTTTGTCTGATGAGAAAAAAAAATTGAAATTTAAAAAAAGTAGGCATTTTATAATTAAAATTTTTTGTCGGATCTTAAAAATAAATATCATGAATCATTGAATCAAACTCAGTATTTATATAACCGAAATACTGTACGTCATTGACAAACCGTAGTATACGTTATGAAAAAGTGAGGTATGGTTTTTTTTCAGTTGAGACTGTTCATCAAGGACCTTATTAGCATCACAGAAGGAGATCAATGTCGTTTATTTATTTCTGACACAAACATAACTGACGACCGTTTTATTAAATGCAGTGCGTAATTACTAATGAAGATCTGGGAAAAAGTTTGCTCCTGTGGAATTTTACTAGCTGTATAAAAACTTTTTTTTCGAATCCTATTGTCTAGAGAGAAAGGGAATCAGTGGATGTATTCACAAATTCATTTGGATTATACTCCAAAATTTGAAATTTATTAAAGTCACGTTAAAATGTTTTTATTGGTCAATATGTAGGAATACAATTGGCCACAAAATTTTTTTTCTAAACGAATTTAACTTGATTTAATTCTTCAATAATTTCATCGGGAATTCTTCTATGTGACCTATATTTTTTAATTGCATATTCAGCTAATTTTCCACCAATTCCCTTTTGATATAAATTCATATAATGCCAAGCTTTTCTTGCAAACCTTCTAATTGTAATTAATGAAACTGATTCAAGACTTCGAGACACAATTTCTTTTAAACCTACCCATGAATAATTACAATTTCTCTTGCATGTCTTTTTGCAGCCCTCCAATAACATTCAATAAAATTTAGTTCACAATGGAACTTCAGATAGAAAATACATTTATGACCTGCTCCCTCAATAATTTCAACAAATGTACCTTTTTGAGCAAGGAAATCTGGTTCCAAGAACATTACCTGACATGCACAACAATTAATTCAATTTTCATCATCTTTCTTCTCTTTACACTCTTTACATTCTAATTTTAATCTACCATTTGGCCATTTTCCTCGCTCTTGTAATATTTGTTTTAATCCCTTAATTTGACCTCAAAGCTTTTCATTTAGATAATTATCAGAAAATGTCATCAATTGCAACTGGTTATTGGGACCCCAGTATATATTGCGCATTTTTGGTTGCAAATCACCAGGATTTAAATTCATTCACTTTGATATTAATGCATTTTTTGCAAATATTACATAATTTGAACTGTTGTCAAATGCAAAAACATAAACACAATTTGGATGAATTTCAATATAAGTATTACCTTAATCTTTATTTGGTCAAGAATATTTTTTGCTATTCAATAACTTTCACAATCTTTTCCTGATTCCAAATATTCACGCGCTTCTACCAAAACCATAGGATATTTTTTAATATCTGCTAGTTTTAATCGCAAACATCTATCAACTTCTGTTAGAAACTCACTAACCATAATTGATTTACCATTGCCTTTTTTCGTAAAGTTAATTCACTATTTTTGACTCAAATGTCACGTTGTCCATTATTAAAATAAAAAACACATTCATCATGCATTACCAAATTGTATTCTTTTTCGTCTTCTGTCAAATCAGGTAAGATTTGATCCATATTTTCGCCTTTATAACATAATATAAGGTTTTCATATTCAAAAAATTTGTTTAAAAATTTTTTTCTGTATTAATCTACATCTTCACATTAGTGTCTATCATAGTATATACCTTGCTTATATCTTTGCTTTTGTATATTCAAGAATATAAAGTCAATGAACTGCAGTTGAAATATCAAGAGTCTTTTTCTTACTGACTCCTAATTTAGTTAATAAATTTTGTTCAATAAACTCTTTACATTTTATAGGTATAACTTTATAATTTTGATCCTAAATCAAATATAGCATTTTTCAGCAACATCTTCATCATCAATTAATCGAATGGTTTTTTTGATGCTTTCCTTGAAATAATATAGGGAATGCATTATAAAGAAGTCAATAATTAGCCCAATATCGTATTTGTCAAGCTTTCCAAATTCCACCATCAACAAAACTATTTGTGTAATGTTTAAACTTACCTTCATTTTTCCACTACTATTTTTATCTAATAATTTCAAATACTCAAAGATTGCTCGTTTCTTATTATACCAAGAAGAGCGGCTGAAATTCACTTAGAAAAGAGGTATGTTTATTATATTATTAAACTTAAAGGGCTGAGAAACTTCCCAGAAGGCAAAAAGAAAGAATTAGAAGGAATTGATTATATAGCAGTAAAGGATGATTCATAACCTTTATTTTATTATGCCAACTTTCTAATCCTATTTTCAAAGCCTTTATCTTTGCATCAATTTTATTCACTTCATATAAGCTTTCATTTTCTTCTTTCGATTCTGTTTTGCTCTTTTTACTTTCAATATTCATGATCCAAATTTATAATTTCATCATCAGTATTAAGTTGAGTGGGAAAAAAACTTGTAATTTTTAAAATGCTAATTGCCGACCTGGTAAATAAGCCACTTGGTCCCCACTTATCATAATATGTTAATTTGGTGACTTACCAGCCTTATATAAACACATTTTTTTTCTCAAATTCATTATTTACATTCCACCTTAAACACAATTATGAATGAATAAATAAAAAAACAAATTATTAAAATAATTGTCTTTTTACCTAATTCTGCCTTTATAAATTTTAATTATGTTTCCTTCTCCTTTTCTAAATCGATTTCATCTTCTTAACCACTATCATCATTATCTTCCCATTCTCCTGCATCTTCTAATTCAGGAATCTCTAGTTCAAAAATGTCATCATCGGCTTCTTCATTATTATTTAATTCATTTTGTGTTGAAAGCTATTTGTTGTTCATTTTTTTGGTTCAAATCTACCTTCTGATGTTTGAAATTGCTGTTTGTAAAGTTTTTTTCAGATTTTAATAGGTGGTATTCTCAGTTAAATGAAAAATACATGTAGATTTTTGATTTCATTGTTAACTATAATATTTATTTATACATGAAGATCAAATTACATTGTAAATTCATATGAAATTTATTATTTCAGGGTTTCCGAATTTTTGATATTTACTAATAAAGATATATGATTTTACGTATTTTAAAACTTTAATAGTCTACTAAAAAATCATGTAATCTCAAATTAAAACCAATAGATTGAAAGAGGATAATCTAATCTATCATTCTATCAGTATTAATTTTAAAATTTGCACAAAATGTACGACTAGATAGATTTGGTAGTTACATGAAATTTTTGATGAGTATAAATGCATCATACCTCCTGGATTGATACATATTTTACTTAAAAAATTTTATCAAATTTTTAACTTTTAATTTTGTTCTATAATATAATAATGAAAAGTTTTAACAAACATGAAAATATGTAAAGTCCTACTTAAGGTTGCTAGATGAAATCAAGAGTTTAGACAGACGTCTAAATGGTAAAAGTAAAACTTGGTTAAACTATATTAAAACCTTATTAAAAAATCTGCGAAATTTAGAAAAAGGTAAAACTATATCAAAGCTTATAAAATGGCAAAACTATATCAAACACTTAGTAAAAATTTAGCAAAACTAAAGGTTTAACCGTTTTGCCAAATCCAAAATGAGTTTAGACAAGCAACCTTAGTCCTACTAAATAATCCTTAAAAATAACAAAAAAAAAGTTTTGTCAATGGAATGAAGATACTATAAAACTGTTTCTTTTATTTTTAATAGAACGAAAAGAAGAAGTGACGCAATTAAGTATAAAATGGGATGGAAATGATAATACTAAAGCAAACTTTAGAAAGACGTATCAAATATGTTTCTTAGCAATAATTATCAATATTCTGCTGAGCAATGTATAATTAAATGGAAAAATATAAAAAAAACTATAAGGTAACTTTGTTTAATAATGTTTAATAAATATTTTCATACATTAATCAAAAATTTAATAATCTATTAGAATGATATTAACCATAATAAGCAAAGTGGTAATGATCCTATTAAAGTTTGATATAAAGAGGAATTGGAAGAAATATTTGACAAAAATCATTTAAGATTAACTTCAAGATTTTTAGGTAGCAGTTTAAATGATGATATCAATATTAAAGGAAATGATATTCTAATTAATGAAATAACTGATCAGAATAAAAGGAAAGAAAGGTCTAAATCTCCTCATGAAAATGAACCACAAAAAGCTAATAGGTTTGAAGTACGACATGTCAAAAAAATATTGGAAGATCTTATTTATCTAAGAAGAGAAGAGCAAGAATTTAAAAGAGAAGAATAAAAAAGGAAAGAAGCAGAAAAAAAGCAAAAAAAAGAGCTGCTTTGTGTCTTAATCTACATATTAATGGTATATAAAGAATAAATATTTAAAATTATATTTAATTTACTAATTATTTTTATATAGATTTTTTTCGTTAATAAGGTTCAGATTCTTTCTCTTAAAGATAAATATGTGAATTGGATCAAGTGAAAAAGAACTTTAATTCAAAAAATTATAAAATAGAATGTATGAAAATGGAGAAAAAGTCATTAGATAGCATATATAAATGGAAAATAGATATTCTGTTTTCATGGCAATTAAAGTTAATAGATAAAAATAGATCCCTTAGGGATCAGTTAGTGTTAAAAAAAAATAATTGTCCACTTCCATTTATGAACAATTCATTGCAACTTGATTCTAAAGAAACCCTTTCCACTCTTGACCTAAAAATTTCTGAAGGTGACACAAAAGTAGTGCCTTTACCAGCAACTACTCCCTTTATTACGAGTTCCTTAATATCACTGATAGTAACATATTCTATTCTTGCTTTACTACTAATTGCAATTATATGGATTATGATCAGGAAATGCTAGAATTTATGGAAAAAAAAGTAATACTGAGCATTCTCCTAATCAGAACTATTTTTTATCATCTGGGTATTTCTGAGACTGGGCTGTATGATCAGAGACTAGAAGTTCAAAGAGGTTTCAGAGGGATCAGATAGAAATTGAAGTTAGCCAGTATTATTATACAAGAAAAAATATATAAATTATATTATAAGTTTCTTAGCTGAAATTGCTATATCTTGCTAAGAGTACTTATCCATATAATTCGATGATATCATCTATATTGGTTTCAGACAAATCATCAAAATACCTAGAAAGTTTATTATAAAGTTTTTATATAATTTTTTAGCCAGTTTTTTGCCTTTCTTTGGGAATAATCATTGATCTGCTTTTCTCTTTTATCTGAATCCTTAATCTGCATTATTTATATGATGGTAACAGTTAAAATCTATTATTCTTATTGATAAATCATGCACACATTGCAACTGTAATACCTAAATAATAATTGATATCTATTTCCATGTTTTGCTCTTTTGCTATATCTGTGTACTTCATATAATCCCTAATTCTATATGACACCTTTCTATCCTGTCTATTATAAAAGGCAGGCCTTTGATAACTACATAGCTAAATCATTCATTAGGATCAGGAATCCTCTCATTTCTCTTTCTCATACATTCCATAAAGCGATTGTTGCAAAGATTTTTTTTCTTAGGCTTTCATGTTTCTATTACAATAAATTCATTAAAATCCCATTTCTTATTCTATACTTCTCTAAAAGTATCTTCAACAATTTTGTGAATTGAGCGCATATTATTTATATCTATAGTCTCCCTCATAATCTTCTCTCCAATGAATTTGAGAAGTTGGGATTTATCTTGCTTTACAGTTTCTATTTCTTTCATGAAAAGTTTTTTCAGCTTAAATTTTACTACATCTTCATGCTTAATCCTAAAGTACTTCTTTTTACTGGTAAAGCAGATAGGAAATAATACCTCTTCATATGTCATCTTTAGATAAGATGTCTCACTTTTTATCTTAAGATAAGCATTTACTTAATTGCGTAACATTTTCATCACATCTATAGTAATTTTAACTATTTCACTTCAGTACGCTTCTTTAGAAAGTTCTTTTTTAAAAAAGATTTCATCGCATTTCTCATAATACCTATCTGGACAAGTGAGATACAAAGAATCAGTATCTTCATATTTTATCCTAAACCCTTTCTTTAATATGAATTCTGCGACAAGATTAAGGTTGTATTTTCCTGTTATACTAGTTTTACAAGCTAATTCGCGAAGAAAGATTAGGATTTTGAATTTCTAAATTCCCAATAAAAGTGTTTATGTATATCTTCAAAGCTCTTTACTTCGAATTCAAATAATCATGATCAAAGCAAACGGATGAGTATTCTAAATTTAAGCTTTTTGGAATCCTTTTGCCTTTTTCTTTAGCTATACTTATTATCTTCTCAAGGCAATCTTTTTTCTTTTCTAATAAGGCCAGTCATATTTTAAGTTCCAGCCTCTTGTTAAATAAATCCTCTAATACAGAGGGGTATAAACCCTTCTTCTTTAAGGTATTATCATGTCTTACACACCAAGTTTTAATAATATGATTATTAAATGAAAATTCGATCTTATGCAAATTATTTTTATTATTTTGCATAATATCAGCTTCCTTATGTATTAGTATTATTTATCTGAAGAGAGATTGTAAGCCATTATGAGACTGGAATATAAAGAGGTGAAATCCAATCTCATTACAGGTCTTCTCGTTTCAATTCTTTTTTTAGATAGAAAAATGTAAGCGTTGGGATATTTCCCTTTTTTTATATTTTTGCAAACCCTTGTATTAAATACCATATCTCGTTTAATGACATATGCATTGAGAAGGTTTCGTATCTTCATTCCATTTGCCTAATAATGCGAATCAAATAAAGATACAAAACTATAGAAGTGACTTCTTTGTAATCATTTATTTGACTTAATTTTATCAAAACTTCTGGTAATGCAATGCATCTATAATGCAATAATTTGCTACTTCATGCATTTTTTTCACAGTTACTAGTGAAGGGTACTCTTTTGCTTCTGAATAGATTCTTCTCATTTTATCATATAACATGTCAGCTATACATGAAGCCGAAATGAAAACCCAAAAAGTCGAAATGTTTCGACTTTGGAGGTCAAAGTCGAAATGAAAAGTCGAAATAGTCGAAATTACGTCATATCACA